TTCTCCATGTTCATATTATCTTCATTTGGCAAGTTCTCAGAGGTAAATACATTACAGTAATTCTATCTGTTTACAGACAGTTAGCTGGACATCAAGATAAATCTGTTAAATGTCTATTAAAAAAAAAAAAAGTGGTTGTCTGGTATTAGATGGATTCAATTTCTAAGAAAACTTAACCTTGAACTAATATGCCTTTTACCACCTTTCAACATCACACTTTGTGTATCACTATTAAGAACAACAGCAAAAAGTATTTTCACAATATAGGAGGAAAACCCCTCCCAATTCCCTAATAATGACAATAACCTCAGTCAAGGATATTTCTCTCTTTCTCTAAAATTAATAACTAGCTGGGGTTAATGTCCACTGGCTTCACCTTAGGCCCTCAATTAATCCCTGAACCTCAACTGTTATTACCTAATTGACTTAGTTTCATTTCATTTTAACATTTCAAAGTGATCTTCCTAAAATCACACTGACAGAGTAACGTGGTCTCTGTAGATATGCACTGACATGGTTTCAATACTGTTACTTTGTCTCTATACACTTGCATTGACATTTCATTTTGTGTTGACATTGCAGTGCCACATCTATGGATCTGTGTAGATGACATGCAATTGTTCAGATTGGGTGAAAGCCTGGCCAGGAGCGAGGGCAGGCCAACATCTTACACAGGGACATGATGCCAGCTGATAGCTACTAAGCAGAATTACTGTTATCACTGTGAAAGTTACCATTGCAAATATGATTTGTATGCTGTAAACATTATCAAATACCACTTGAAATCTTGCTGGTTTTCTTAAAAAAATAAAATATTTTGACTTAGGTCAGCTTAAAAACCTAGCCTGAAAAATGTACCAGGTAATGTATTTAATAGGAGCTTTTTTGATATTACCATTTAATGATTATATGAGGTTGCAAAAAATTATGCAAATCTTGTGTGTTCCAATATCATAATACCAATGCAAATAGCTGAATACTGTAAGATGCAACACTAAATCAAGAAATCCTCGTAAAAATAGGGCATCAAAACATAGTCTTCTTATTATCTGGAGAAGTTTTTGAAAAGTCTTTTGAAGCTCTTTGATCCAGCTCTGAAATAATTTTGGTAGATTACTATTGTATGAAACCCATAATTTATAGTAGCTGACCTAAGCTGCTCTTTGTGTAACAGCCATATATGAAACAATAGCAGGAAAGTGAAAAATACAAGGGGAACTAAAACTGCTCTGTTTATTATTTAGCTCATAATTACATCTTCCTTATTTAATCTTTTGAATCCTGGCATGTTTTTAATAATACAGGTTCAGTTAATATTTACTATACACAAGAGAGTTAGTTTTGAGTAACACATTTAGACTATCCAAACTTTGTGTAACTTGTGACCTTTCCCTAACCTAAGCGAGGTCTATTTTATACAGATCATACTAGATAGACGGTTCCTCTATAAATGGTGAAGTTGCTGCCAAGCTCCCATTGTTAGCTAGTTCATTTTTTGACAGGCACACTTTAGGTTCCTATCACACCACCGTAAAGAGCAAGCCCTTGAGGTTTCTGCTTTTGTCAATGTAGTAAAAAGGTTACTTCTGAATAACCTGCAAATCCAAAACAAATGGCTCTTTGTGACTTAGAATAATACGATAGGAGCAATTTTTTTTTGTTTTTGCAGGCGGCCTCCTATTTTATTCCATAATACTATATCAATATTTAGCAGCATTTGTCTTAATGTAATTAATCTCATCCTTGAAATAACAAATGCATGTTTCTAACAACTGTTCCCCTTGCTCAGTATTCACCACCTAACTGCAGAAAATCCCTTCAGAAGAAGCTATTTAAATAAATAGTAAGACTACACCAGGAAGAATTGAGTTCAATTCTGCGTACATTTTGTTGATGTTTGAAGAGTTGTTATCAAGTAACAACAACCTTCATGATGTACAAGCTTTTGCCAGATCAACTGTGGTGTGAAAATGGGGAGATAGCCACCTTTTATGTTCTGAGCCAAGTAGATTTTGGCATAGGAGGAAAGCTAAACCTTTGACTTCGACGAATCTCCTTGAAGAAGCACTGCACAAACGGCATGAACTTGCAGAAAGGAAGTGTCTTTAGTGAAAGAGACTGCTGTGACAGCTAAATTCCTAATACTGCCTATGCCTACTTTCCAGCAGCACAGATGCACTCCTAACTTAGGCCTTTGTACAACTGTACTCTCAATAGAGGGTGAGTGATTATTCTGCACTACTGATCTGCTTGGTGAACACTTCTACCCTGCAGAAATAACCTATGTTTCAAACCAAGAGAATGAAGAAGAGCATCACAATACTTCCACAATACAAAGCCATGTGGTAATTTGAGGGCAGTCTCCCTGGCATCTAAGGCTTCTATTTAAGTGAGAGTAAGAGCAAAATTGCCTGAGATGGTTGGTCAGTTTAAAGGCATACAGGACTGGAAACAGCACTCTTCAGGTGTAGTAACAGCAACAGAAGCAGGTGGTAGAAAACACAGGACAGAATTTTCAAATGGGACATGTGAGCAAATGGGAAGACACTGAATAAATAAATGTGAAATAGTTAAACTGAGATGGAAAATTAAAAGGGGAGGATTTAAAGGCAAATTGAAAGAGACATAAATAGTCCTCTGTAGTAGTCTAGATGGTGGAGAAATTAAAAAGCAAATATCAGAAAAACATAACTTTTTGAATGAGTCAATATAACAAAACAGGATGAACATTATTCATTAACTACCAGTACTACTAATGTAATGAAGTAAGACATTTGGTCCCTTTTCTTCAGCTTTAGATCTTAAGTTTTATTCTGCTTTGAGCTGTCTTTAGGGAAAGATTATTAAACTCATACTATGTCTCCAGAATACAGGAACGGTAAAAAACACAGACCACTTTCTTCTTATACTACAGTGTGTGACCCACTCTTGTGCTGTTCCTCCCATATAAGGAAGTTTTACTTCCCTGTTTGACACAATTTCATCAATTCCTAAAGCTCAGAACAGGCCTTATTACAGTGCCTGTAAGAGCAGATGCTTGGCAAGTCTGTGTATGCCAGTGAGAACATCATTCAATTTTATGCACACTTCTGTTTTCTGGCTTGGTATAATTCATTAGCACACTCTACAATATACCCCATAAAACTGAATTTGGCTTTAATGTTAAGGTTCTAATGACTTACAGCATTGTTTAAGAAAACAAACCCAACAAAAATCTCACAAAGAGCAGTCTCTCCTCTTTAATATTAAAGCTGAAGTTTACATCTGATAAACAGAAAAAATACCCAAAGGAGTACACAGTACAAAAGTAGGAATAACAAAATAGTCCTAATTTTTTTTAATGTTTTGCTTTCAGCATTAAAAATAGTGACACAGCATAGTTTTCGTGGTGGCAAAGCTTTTTTGATAGCACATAATGAAATTCAAACAGTACATACACTTTTGTGGCTTATTTCATCCTCATTCTAATACAAAGATTCCTAAAGTGAGCAACATATGAAGATGAGGTTAAAGCTTTGATTAAAGACAGCTGTACTGCTTTCCAACCTGTTATGTCACAGCATTAAGTAGAGGAATAAATAAACAAATATAAGCCTAACCTGATTTATCTGTGTGCCTCCACATAAATTTATTTAATGTACGAACAAATAAAGCAAAGCTTTGATGGAGGTTGAGCAGAATTTTCAACATCTGTGCAGATACATTTAATTTATTCAAAAAGAAAAAGCAGCATTAGTGCATCATGTAAAAGCTGATTTAAAGGATTTCATACAACAGAAAGCATATGCAGTAGCTAAAACAAATTCAGATTGCCTTTGAAACCCATTTCACTCAGACAACTGTTACTTCTGAATTTTCTAGTATGATAATATTTAGTTATTACTTCTTTTTCATTATCTTCCTAATTTTACATACTCCACCAACCAAAACCACAGTCAGAAGTCCCAGGGGCAGCAACACACTAAATGCAGCTTCTGTGGAGCATCAGGCAGGTACACTTCACACATTGCTTCTATGTATTTTTATGTGCAGATCCTTAAAGCTCGTCAGGTAAAATAATATCAGCACAATACCTTAAATACTTGAACATAAATGAATTACAGGTGTTTGAATATTTTTTTTTAAATAAATCTTTTCACTGTAACACATTCAAACCTGGGATAATATCTTTATATAACAATAACTCACTATAATGGAGCTATTTTAGCTTATCTCTGCAGCAAGGGACAGGGTACAGGAAGACTGAAGAGATTTTTTCCTGAAAATGAAAGATTGGTCAAAATGATAAATTCCTGTCTGAAACTTATCAGAAAGTGTTAAGGTGAGAACTAAAAATTACAAATAAAAATACTGTATATGCACCTGAAAACTACAGTGGAAAAATTCCTGAACAGGATTAATATTTTTTTTGACTCAAGGCAAGACTGTAAAAAGTCTGCATATGATTTTTTAAATCATAAGGGCGCACAAAGTATCACTTCAACTAAAAAAAGGTGATGAAGATGCATTGTAATGTTTTAAAGACCCTTTCCTTCTGGAAAAGGTTATCAACTTGCACTTTAGGGAGACTGTTCTCCCACCTTTAATTCTACAACAGAATGCATACTTCTGCTTCTCTGGAAATCTGAGCATGATGAGAATACAGGCAAAACTCACTGACTTTTTAAAATACTAGTCTGTTCTGGATACTAGTCAGCAAAGAAGAGGCTATTGAAGTTTGTCAAGCCCAATAAAATGCTGTCATTAAAAAGCACCTAACTGAGAGCACAAACTTGAGTGCTGATATGGATGGAACAGAAGAGACTGAACTCAAAACTTCAAGAAGGGCTAGCACCCACCTCAATGTACTTCTGATCTTGGTGGTTCCAGCAAAAAAAACCCAAGACTCTTACAAGAAGACAAGTAAACAGACAAGACAGGAAACTTCTGTCCATTTGTGTGTTTTATTTGTTTTGTAGAACTGATCCAGTATGAAGCACTGTTTCATCTTTTTTTTTTTTAATTCTCCTTCTTGAACACCAGGATGGTAATCTTTTTCAGACATAACCCACATAGAGAACTCCTGTATGTTGCTCTTTCAGACTTCAGAATGCCAGAAAATTCCATGCTACGATACCTACAGGGCTCAAGACAGATTTCTTCCTTAAAGTCAGTTAAGAGAAAAATTCCTCAATAGAGATTCCCTAGAGGTGGGGGAGAGGAAAAGACAAAACACAAGTTAATTCTGAATCATTAAAATATCAAAATACTTGTTAAAACATCCCAAAAACTAATCCCAAACTTCCCAGGCTTATATACGTAAAATAAAATCTGTGCTCTTCACTTTCACTCTCCATAAAAATCCCCTAACTTAGATTACTTTTTAACTGTTAACTTAGGATTTCATTGTTCATTTTAACAATCAGACTATGATGAAACACATATAGCAATTATTCTCTCAAAATCTGGCTATTTACTGTAATAGCCATGATCCTGTCTTACCACTTGGGCTTTACAAGCTTTGCATTATATTGTTTTAAGTCCCAAAACAACAGTCTCTACCAAATTTTGCCATCACCATAGGTGTCTGAGCCGCATCACTGGCACTAAATAAACTTGTGAGTGAAACCGTAAAAAGCAGTTAAAGATGACTCTGTAACGGGGATAAGAACCGAAAGCTCCACCTTTTAGCCTATGCATTTTTGTCTTTGTTTGGAATGCTAGGAGAAACCATACGGAAGGAAGAAAGATTATGAGTATCTAGAAACTAGCTGTTTGGCAGAGGCAGAACTGCTGATAGCGAGTGGGTTGTGTCTGTCTTTTTTGGCTGATCACAACAGAGGTCTGAGGCAAAACAGAAACTCTCGATAAGTTTGTGTAAAGCGGCAGCAGCATAAGGGCGGGCAGCAGGAGTTCAGCTGAAGTTCAGGGCAGATGCTGCCGTTAGTTTACACTGCAGGAAAGTAAAATTGCTTCCGGATTTACCTCTTCCTCCCAACATCAGTGCTGAGCCATGCTGTGTCGCAGAGTCACAATGTCAGTAGGAAAGCAGTCTTTTAGCAGGATACCACGCTCACGATGGCAGTCCAGCTCTTCAATAAATCCATACCAGTAGATGACTAATCCAGGGCCAAATCTATCAAGCAAAAACGAAAAATGAACTTATGTGATCCTGTTAGGGGAACTTCAATTTCCCATCTCTGTGATTCCAACACAAGTAAATCTGTTAACTTCACTGTAGAATTGCAGTGAGTATTTGATGTCCATCTAGTTTTTGAAGTTTGACTGATGTTCAATTGATAGATGTCGATAATACCTGATTCCATGAATAAAAATGCTATTTAGAGACTCAAACAATCCACATCAGTATTTTTTTTTCCTTTGAACACTCTGCACATATCAGCAAAAAAACAGCTATGTATTAAATAACATTCAATAACTTTGATATATATAGAAATGTCTTCCCATGCACTCAGCTTTTTTCAATTTAGGGGTGTAGACATTAAAAACACAAGAGTTTATGCATGTTTCAGTTCATGCAAATTATAATACCATGAAGATAACAATGAATCCTTAAAATATAATCTCTACAATGAGCTATTATTCAGGCAATTATTAACGTAAAACACAATTCAGAAGAAACAGAAAGTTTGTGCTGTAATGTCTCTGAAATGTGCCTCAGGAATTCCTCAGATATTGCTAACTCTGACTGATCCCCACTAGGCAAACTCAGGAAGTAGCCCCATGGACTATTTTACCCATCAGGAAGTTCAGACCTTCAGGCTGGGTTCATAAAGAAGTAATCACTATCAATCACTGTGTACTGTGATATGTTTTGCACATCAGTTTCACGTTTTTCCTACTGAGAGCACTTAATTAAAGGGCAGCACTACTTCTGGTGTAGTGTTGCAGGAATTTTACAGTGGAATCATAAATTATGAATGTTGGGTTAGTAAAAGGATGTCTAAAAACAGAACTGCTTTCTGTAGTCTAACATTACAGCAGTCTGTACAACATTAGGCCAAAAAGCTTTTTCTTCCTTGATTTATTATATGCTGTAGTGAACTTGCCAAAACCAACAGTGCAGGATGAGCTGCTAGATACCGTCTGTACAAGAAAAAGTTCAATAGAATGTCATGTAATGGTTTATATGCAAAGCCGTGCTCAGGACTCAAGCAATATGGTAGACAATTTTTGTTAATGTTTAATTATAATAAAAATTTGATGGGAGGAGCTACGGTAACCTAAATGTCCCTGGAGCAGAAAATACAAGCACTCAAAGCCATGGGTAGTGCTGGACTGGCTTCATGAGGGTGGTTGCTTTCCAGCAGTGGGGGGAAAACTCTATTCGATGTGCTTATTTAATGGAATAGGCATCAAAGGAAGGAGAAACCCCGGTGACTTCCTCCTGCAGTTTCAATTAGATACAGTAGTCTCTTGCGCGAAACTGCTCCAGAGCATTGTAACATTGTCTATGGCTACTGCTCCTCAACCTCGAAGTGGCCACAGTTCGGCGGCAGAGTAAATTACCCCTAAGGACAACTGAGGCCACAACGGCAAATGTGCTATTTGCAACTGAAAGATGGTATTTGAAAGTTGAAAGGTTATAACTCTGACAAATCTGGCTACACTAGATAACACATCCTTACACGTTTGGCAATAAATCCAGCTCAGACTAAAAAGTGGCTAAAGCAGAAGGACAATGCTGCCTGCACGCAATTCCTACGTTTTCTCTGGCTGGCCAACAACTTCAACCTCTACTGTCTCCAAGGGTATTGTCCTTTGTTCAAGTTCACATGGGGCCAAGACATAGAACCTCACTGTACTGGGGAGGCCAGATAGCCTAGCAGGAGCAAGGAGGAGCCAAGGACTGATGCTCCCAGCCTTTGGTGAGAGACAGCAGTTTGCTGATGCTGGATGGACCCTTACTTTTGTTATTTCACAGACTGTGTATCTGTTCCCACATCAAGCAAACACAGAAATGGGATAATTGGGTGGGGATGTACTTACGCACTAACCAAAGTTATTTTAAAAGCAAAAATCCCCGGAAGATAGGGAGCAGACTGAATTTCTAATGGGCTACTTTGTGCAAGGCAGAAACTATGAAATGTGTACAAGTAGTTACTCATTGGGAGCACATGTGCCAGGTAAAATCCTTATGCTAATGAGCAGCTGCTCACCCAAGTTTGGAAGGGCTCATTTTGCTGTGTGGCAGTCTGAATCCTCCATTCATCATAAAATCTGTGTGGCACTGTGCTTAAGTAATGTCTTAGGGTTTTTTTTGAAATTGTAATTTTAAATAAAATTACTATTTTGAGACACCTCAAAAGGCTAATTTACGTCCTCCCAGCAAATCACCTCACCTCACCTCATTTTTGAGGCATTTAAAAAATTATGTTCAAAAATGCCAAATTTGGTAATAAAATTTGTATACAAGAACACCTGTAGATTGTTAATGGCAGGAGCAAGTACATCTTTAGCGTGAAAATATCCATAGATCCTGCTTTTGACTGCGGTATTATAGCAAAACTGTTTGCCCTGTGGTGCCTAGGTTGCACTTTTTTCAACCCTTTTGTGTCATTCCTTCTATTATAGCTCTATAGCACACAACTGGTGTACGATAACATAAAAAACCACACCACAATTTTGTTTAAAAGCACTTAAGTGCACTACTTAAGACCAAAATTAACTTGTTGGCACTTTAAGCATTTGCAACTGACTATCAGGAACTCCTGCTGCTAAGTGCTAATTTCTCTCTCATTAACGCCCAGAGTTGGCAAATCACAAACAATGCCACTGGTTAATTACTGCTGCCTTAATCTGAAACGACATTTAACCTTTTTGTGAAAGGGGATGAGGTAGGGAAGGTTAACTTAAAGTAAGAACTATCCTTTTTTATTTGACTCCTTCGATAATCTGGATATGACACCACGACGACCGAAAATCAGGCAACAAAATGACTTCTGGCATCATTTGTAACATTTAAGAAGCTAGTGAATAACCGTGGTTTCCACACGAGAATGAACCTACTTAAATAACAGAATGCTCACTTGGTATTGCTATGGAAAGAGGACACATCCAGTAGCTCCATGGAGGAGACAAAAACTTTGAATGTACCAATTGGTTCTAAAACTATATAGATACAAGATAGGCCAGGTTATTTCATATGAAAGACACACTGGAGATGGTTTAAGCTTAAACTGAAAATCTACCTTAGAATGTAATAAACTACTGGACTCCTATGCATTTTCTTCTTGCTCAGAAAAACTGAATAAATTCCTGATAATGTACTTTAATTTTTCCTCCCGTCTTTCTTTAGTTCTTAGCCTGAAAAGCCTAAGGAATGTATCCAAAAGTTACACAAAACTGTAGATTCAGCTATTCCAGCGAAACTAGTGCTTTTAAAACTTTACTTTTATAAGGATTTTTTTCTTAAAGCTGAATGGAAATCCAAGTCACTAAGGTTTGGTTAATTCCATGCAGCCAAAATAGAATAAGCAGTAAATACAGAGGTAGGCTTCCTTCAGAACATAATAAACATAGCAAGTGGAAGTTATCCACACAGGTTACATCAGTTTACTTAAAAATCAACCAATAAATAGGTAGTTACCATCATATAAATCCTGGTATAGTCACTGTCTAGTTTTGACATTAGAAGTTGTGACTACAAAGCCAACTCAGCTGTACTTGGGGTCTGAGTATCAGAAGTGCCAAAAGGGAGCAGGGAGGTTTATGACCCCAAGGCATGGCAAGACCATAGCAGGATTACAAAAACTTGCAAATTAGTTTAGGCCTGATTTAGGCTTTATATAGAAGACTACATTTAGTCTAAGCACTAAAGGCAGAAGACAGTGTCTTTTCAAGAATCAACTGAATCATTTGAGATAGATAATGGAGATAGTAAAATAAAGTTTGAGTACAGTTAAATATAGTTTCAGGCTCAACAAGTTCTTTAAATAAAATTTACATCTGACCATGTAAGTACAATTTAAATCTGCTCTAAATAAGTCAGGGTTGCACTAATTTCAGATTGTTCAGAGGAACTCTTGTACTGGTTTAATGACACAAATTTTGAAAGAACCCATAGTTAAAGAAGTACATCAGTAATCCTGGGACACTGGGGTTTGTCTTGGAAAGGAGTTTCACAGAGATATGCTGAAAAGCCAGGAAGGTAAAAATCTGATAACCCAAAGCCAAATGGGTATTTTTCTTGAGAAAACAACAACAAACCAAACAAGGAGTCATTAAAAAAAAAAAAAAAAAAAAAAAAAAAAAAAAAAAAAAAAAAAAAAAAAAAAAAAGAGGAAAGAAAATAACTAAATAAAATGTGAATCTGGATTTAACTTGCCCTCCAGCTGAACCAGTTTTGTGCTAGAATAGAAAGAAGACTTTTATTTATTTATCAATAAATATGAAGTGAGCCTAGTAGATTCACACATATTCTACTTCACTCAAGAAAAACTACTTTATAATAACATCTTTTCTTCTGGAACGTCTGTGTGGGGTCCATACTAGCTTCTAAGGATTTGCCTAAACATGTGGCTATTGTGAGACCATTTTTTCACCATCAAAAAGCCTTGCATGTGGTTTTATAAAAAATGCATTTTCAACACACTGCTTGATACTGAAAAGAAATGTAAAACAACTTGTACTTGTTTTTATACAAATGTTCACTTCACTTAGTCTATTTGTTACAGATGGGTTTTATGCATCTCAGCATAATGTAAATAATTTGAATTCCAAGAGACTCTCATAATAAAATGCTGGTATATAATTTTTTATTTCTAATATGCATGCATTTAAACAAATAGTTTATCAAACAGATTAAGCCAAGTATTAATGGTATGAAAGCATAACAGTCTACCTGGTTGGTGATTTTAATTATGAACGTGACACCTGAATGTGTCTTGGAAGGACTGCATTTTGGTCTCCCTCCCTTTTCAATGTCAGTTAAAAACCTGGCTTTGTTTTCTTGATTTTCTTTTTAAATATGAAGCAAATCAGAGCATTACCATTTGCACATCACCATGTATTTCCTGTGAAAGAGGAATTACAAAAGTTCACAAATAAATTATTACATTCTGAGTCAATTTAACATGGTTCTTCAGAATCACAGGTGTGAGTAAACAGGTTTTA